ATAAAGCTGTATTTAGTTGTAATCTTGAGATCAAGATCTTTGCCCAAGTTCATGTGCAATGTGCTGCAAAACATTGGACTACAATTGCGCTGATGGTGAGTTATCGCAAATTTGAACTTCCAATGCAAGATATTCTTGTAAATAACAACCACTTAACAACTACTTAACAACCACTTAAATAATAACTTTTTTTAATAATCGACTTTTTATAGTTTCGAATTGCGCGAATATCACTCGTGCAATGTGTCAAATGGCAGCTTTCTACGATGCTTTGTTAAGAATGTGTCCGCGAACTTGTGGTCTTTGTCGTCGACCAAGTGCTGGCAAGTGATGTTCAGATACAATCAAAGAATGCGGCATTTTAGTAGGACTGCTGTACCGTTGATGTTGATTGGTGATGTTTTTGGTATCTTAGTGGTATTTCAAATCACCAATCGATGGTTCAGGTTTGATTCCGATAGGCACACTACGTTTCGTCGTAGTGCGATATAAAAGTACCAACGATATAGTGATAATGATACAGAATAGTTAATACTGAGTAGTTAATGGAATAAAAAGAAGCAAATATTTTCGCAAAATCATCGAGGAAAAATTATCCTAAAAATCTCAATTCCAAATGGTTTACACTTCCTTTTATATTTTATTGCTAAAAGGTTTAAAATGTTTTGAGATTTTCTTTATGTCCTAGGCAATAGCAGAAAGGTATATGGATTATAGTTCAACAACTAATTCTTTTAATCATCGCAACTGATATCACTGATTTTTAAAAATAATTTGGCTAGCTTTTTATTAAAAGAAAAACGAATAAAAATGATAAAAGATGATTTTATCCATTTTAATGATTTTTTTTGGTTAATTATAATCCATAAGGAAATTTTTATAGAAAAAATAATAATAAGGAAGAATATTTACTTTTATTGAATTTAATAAAAAAATTTATCTTTAGAGAAATAATAAATTTGATCTTGGCAGCGCCAAATTTCCATTACTTATACGGTCGTCTTCAAAGGAATCACCTTTATACATAAAATGAAATTTTAGTTCAAACTTTCCTAAAGGACTTAATAAACAGGAGCGTAGAGGAACAGCTGGACTTTCAGCAGCCATTCAAGTATAAATTTCAATAATGAAAATATTGCTATCAATGGGAATTGGATTCGTGCAACATAATAAACATAGCTATGCTGAGCTTTTCATTTTTACATTTTTTTTTCACTTATTTTTCCAATTTTCGAATTTTTTCCATACTTCGATTATGCAATTATGCAATATTTTCGGTGTGTTCGGTGCTTTAATAAAATAAATATAAAAAAATAATTTATTTCTTCGCATAAAAGAACGATTTTTTTGAAACATTCAACATAATTTCAACGTTTTCTTTTTCTGTTTTTTAAATTGTTTCAATATAAAAATGAAAGAAAATTTTTGCATTTTTTGATTTGTTTCAAAACTCCAATCGGAAACTCCAGGAAAGTGCAAGTGCAAGTGCAAGTGCAACATCACAGTTGTTCGCATCATAAAATGAGCAAAATATAAACAAATGAAATGAAATATAACGTAAAAACCTATGCTGTTCTTTTCATAATTAACTATCTTCAGTTGTTAAATACATTGGAATCTCTCAATTATATTAATGTGGCGAACTGTGTGAGATACTGAAGAATACCGGAATTTTTTTTTAAGATTTCACCATTACTGGTTAGACACGCTCCGCTGGCTTCTCACACTGGACAAATATGTCAAATAGTCTCTTTGCGATAGAAGTAGAGGGAAGTCGCCAGCATCACTCGGATTTTTGGACAGGTTTTTCCCAGCGGAGGATAGAAATTTAGTATCGGCGCTCCAAATTGATCAACAACCCATTAAACCCATCCTCTTCGGAGAATATCGGAATTGGGATAGAATGGCTCAGTGGGTTGTTGCTCAATTTAGAGCGCTAATACTGAGGTGCGATTCCCTATAGGAGTAAACCTGTACAAAAATCCGGGTGATGCTGGCGACTTACCTTTATTTCTATCGCCAAGGGACTCTCTGGCATATTGCCCAATGCGACAATTTAGTGGAGCGAGTTTAACCAGTATTAGTGAGAATTCTTTTAAAAAAACCGGAATAGAGGACTGTTTCTCGGAATTTTCGTTTTCCTTATGAGATTTGTGCAATATTTTTCATTATTATTTAATTGATGAAATTTAACACAACTTTAGGAAATAGTTGGCTAATGTTGTGATAAAAGCATTTTTGTGCAATAATATAAAAATACCCGCAAGCGAAATCGCTTAAAAAGATGAAATGTCCATTTGTTTTGAATGTCCATTTGAAAGTGGCTTTTTTATCAATCCGTTAGGCGAAAGACGTTGTCGTACTTCGGTGTGGAATTATGGAAATATAAAGAGCTATCGTTTATGTTATTTTTTAATTGAGCTGTTTTTTAACAAAAGCACATTTTCTTGCAATAAATATTGTTTTTTTAGTGCGGTAATAACATTTTCCCTTCTACTGGACAAAAGTCATTCTTGAAATGTGAATTATTAGCAATGGACAAGGGAATATTTAAATTAAAATAATATTATTTTTAAATATTTTATGCATTATGAATTGAATGATTCAATATATATGTTGTGAGCTTCCGTTGTTTTGTTAATCGTTGTAAACTTCTTGAGGAAGAAAAAATAAATATTTTATTTATTTGAACTGAATATATGAATATATAAGCTGAAATAGAGCCGATTTTACGTGTTTTAGTGCGTAATCATTTATCAATCATTCATAACAGTCATTTATCAAAAAACAATCTTTTTTTTTCATTTTTTCCCGGTAACCTAAGCAATTATACGAAAATTACACAAATATTTATCGCCACAAAGGTCGATCACTTAAAAGAATTTATTTTTGTAATTTTTAAATTTTTTGAACTGTGAAAACAACTAAAATCTTTGTATTCTTTTATTGATTTATAGTATCGTTTTTTTAAATTATATTTCTTTTTTTTCTGATATCTCATTAAATCAAATAATCTTTTTATAAAAATTTAAAAAAGACTAAAAGTTCCAAGAACCAAGATTTTATCAGTTGTTATCAGCTTAGTGGGCTTTGCTTTACACAACCTTTTTTTTCAGGTTTATTATTAAAATATATTTAGATTATTTAGATTAAGCAGAAATGTAGAATATTATATAGGGGTTTTTCTAACAAAATTTTTTTGTTTGTTTCAGTTTCCTAACAAAAAATTTCAACAAACTGATAATTGTAAGTATCATAAGCTTGAATTTAGATGGCCTAAATTGTGTGTTCCTTTTTCAGCACGCATATTTCCCATTTCAATGATTCTGAATAATGAATCTTATTAAAATGTAGTTTATTATAGCTACAAATTATTATTAATTGTTGTAACTACTTTTTACTACTACCACTGGTGCATTTTATTATTGATCATTATTGTTGGTTGCTATCATTAATTATTATTATTTATTTATTTATTTATTTATTTATTTATTTATTTATTTATCGCTGATAAATACGAAATAAATTACATAAAACAATTTATTAGTTAATAATTATTTATAAAATATGAAATGTGTAATTTGGAGTTATCAGCGGGATTTTTTGCAATTTTGTAAATTTTTTTTTATTTTTAAAATTTTTTTTTAAATTTCATCTAATAAGCTTTTTATTACTTTTTTTATAATTTATTTACCTTATAATTTATTTGTGATAATTTATTTATTTAATTTAATTTAATTTATTCTTTAATGTTTTAATTATTATTTTATGAAACCTCATAATTATTTTTATAGGCGTAAAGGAAAAAAAGAATCATTAAGAGAAGAATCATTTTGAGCTGCACTGATGATCCGCATATATCGCGAAATGATTCCTTGATGACTTTCCATTTGAATTTCCAATTTAGATGCTTTAGGCATCTAAGTAGGCATTATGCTTTATAAAAACTGTTATAAATTTATCGTCGCTAAAATGTCGTTCTATATATTTCGGATTATTCCGCGTTTTCGCTATTTTGTCGTGTCATTTTTTGATAACATTTTGATAGTTTAACCGGTTTAAAAAAAAAAAAAAAATTTTTTCGTACAATACATCGAATATTATTTGCATGGTAATGAAATGAAATAGATGTTATATTAGAATTTTTCAAAAAAACTTTGCATAAATTTTGTTTTTCCTTAATTTTATACATAAATTTTATTTCCTTTGAATTGAAATAAATATAATTTGATGTATTCGAATTTGAATAAAAATTTTTCACGAATTCATCCTAAAGACGATATAAATATTAAAATTTTCAAAACCTAATTAATTTTATGTGATTAAAAATAAACTTCTAAAAGACTTTTTAGCATATCAAATGGAAATCAATCGAAATGAACTTATATGTTATGATTCTTGGTAAACATATAATTTGCATTATACCGAGCTGTTAACTTTGAATAACTCGAGAAAAAATCATTGACCGAAATAGGAAAATTCAATTTTCCGGATTACTTATTTCACACGATCGATTATTCTATTTTTTCAAAAACACTGACCATTTTTCATTAGTTTCACTGGCTTAGCTCGAACCAGACGATAGAAATATAGGTAAGCTGTAGCACTGCTTATATTTCAAATTTAAGTACCGAAATGGTAGAAAATAATTAATGGTAGAAATAATGGTAGAAAATCTTAGAAAATAATTTTATAATAAAATATGAAAAATTTTAAATTATTTTAACTTTTAACGCCATATGATTTTGTCAGTAATGAAATTAAAATAAGAGTTAATAGAAATTTAAAAAAATTTGAGTCATCGAGATTTATAATAAAATAAAGAATAATTTTTGGAAAAAATTTTCATACGTATAATTTTTCATAAGTACAATAATCTTTCATCACAAATAATCTTTTTCAGCAAACTAGTTCCTCTATCCCGAATATAAATCCAATATTATGTAAAATAAATAATTTTTCAATGATTTTTAGTTGTGAAAATTTTTCAAACACTAATAATGTTCTTCGGCGTCCTTATTTTGGTTAGTTACTACTATATTGTATAATAAGTCTATGAGAAGTGCTCCATTTTTTTTATTGAATGAATAACCGCAGTTTTAGAAAATTTAATGGAATGGCACATGAATCTACTGAACAACTTATAGATAATTTTCTGATAACTTTTAACTTATCTTTGAATTTATCTTGTAATTTTTTTCTTTGCTAATTTATGCTGATGTTATAAACATTTTAGATATATCTTCTTTTACATATTTTATATTTACATTTATATTTTAGATATATCTTAAATATATATCTTTTTTTCAAATAAATTCAATATTTTTATAAAAGATATTGCACGAATAGAATTGCGAAATCGTTTTCATAAGCTTTCGTTTTTTTTTTCAGTTACCAATTGTACATGGACAAGGTGATTTAAATAAAACTGAAATTGTTCGCGACGTTAATTGTAAGTTGACTGGACAGAACTGTGGCCCCAATATGCACTTCACTACTATCAAGCAATATTATCAATTTCGACCAGGTTTTTCGATGAAATTATCGCTAAAAAAAGTTTGCATACAGCAATGCAAATATGCGAGTACTCAAGAAATGAAAATTGTTGAAAAATTCACTACACAACTAACAACGAGATCCGTAAAAATTCAAAATTACATTTTCAAAATTTTTTTGGCTCTATTTATCAATGCCCGAATGAAGGAAAAAAACCGAAAAAATGAAGATTATTTTAACTTTTCTGAAGTTTTTTTAGAAATAAAGCTAGGCTAGGTTAGAACATTTCTGAGATTTTTCTCGCTATTGAAGAATGTAAAACGTTTCCGATATTTTTCAAAACCTAAAAGATGAAAGGTGCAATGTCCTCAGGAAATGTTAAGACTTAACGTCCTGCTTACCATAGAAAATTTTTGAGGTTTTCCTGAAGAATTTCTGAATATTTTTGAGACAATTTTTGCAATAAGAGAATGCGAAAATAATTGAATAATTTTTATTCATCGGAGATTTTAATTTTTAGGGTTTTTCATAATTTTGAATAATTCCACTTTTAATGATACAAGGATATCAATATGCAATGTAATAAATAATATGCATTTAATTTTTAGGGTTTTTCATAATTTTGAATAATTCCACTTTTAATGATACAAGGATATCAATATGCAATGTAATAAATAATATGCATTTAATTAAATATGCTAAAATCATATTGGTGCCTGGTGCGAATATGAAAAAATTATGCAAATGAGTATGGCAAGAATTTGCAAAACCTTATTGTAATGCTGTGAATAAATGACTTTTATCATTTCAAACTTTTTACACAGTCCTTGGTTCCTTCGATTAATTTCTTATAGCTGGAATAAAATTAGAATTAGCAAATAACTCGCTCAATACAGTTTTAAGATTATAAATGTTGAATTGCTTCGTTTTACAATAATATTATAAAAAATTGAAAATTTTCACGAAATTTTCACTAATTTTCATTATTTTTTCAGCCACAATGTTCGAAAATTGGTCTATGTGCATTGAATGAAAAAATAGAAGACCCCAGATGCAAATTAACTGATAAAAAATGTGGTGAAAACATGAAATTCGTCACCGTTAACCGCAGTAATCGTATAAGGGCGGCTTTCGTTTATTCCTTTAGACTTTGCATTCAACAATGCAAATGCGTACCAAACGAATACTTTGAAAAGGACGGCAAATGTCTTAGGAATTCAACTGAGATTTTAAATGTAAGTAGGTAAAGTGGTGAGATGTTTTATAATTTCGCATAAGATCCATTCAATTTTCAGGCCATTTCAATGAAATGATAACAGCAATTCGTAAAAAATTTGACTATTGGGTTTCAGGCGATGAGCAAATGATAATTTTTCCTGAAAACATTTTTTTTCAATTTCATAATTCATTTTTAAAATTAAAGATAGTCCTTTACTGAAATCTAAATTTTTACATTATTGGGAGTTCCGTTCATTCATATTTCCTGTTAAACAATAATGCGATATGCTTTTTCAGATTAACCAGTTCGCCTATTCATATGGTGACGAAGTATTTGATTTTTCTTGCCAGTTGGCCGGCAGCAAATGTGGACTGAACATGATGTTTGTAAAGATCGATCCATATAAATCACGTTTCGCCTATCCGCAATTTTTTTCCTCCGCTTTTTGTGTCGTACAATGCAAATGCATTAAACCGTATGAGGGAAAAGATGGACGATGCATATAAAATTTATTGGTTCTTAAGATTTCAGAATATTTCAATACTCTTTGAATTTATAATGTGATTAATTGACAATATTTTTATAATTTTACTTTTCTTTTTTTCTATTCTATAATGGAACCGAATGAAAAACTTTCAACGCCATATGATTTTGCCAGTAACAATGAAATTAAAATGAGAGTAAAGAGAATTGAGCAACCGGAAGTATGAAATGCAAATTATAGTTCGAATTCTACTAGCCGGAAGCGATCGTTTCCATAAATAAGTCGCCTTTTAATATTGTTGGCGAAAGCTAAAATTACAACTTTTAACAAATTTGATAAACTTTCGTGAGGAAAAGAAAAAATGTTCATTATTTCTGACTATGCAAATGTGGCAAGTAGCAGGTCATTTTTTTAATGGTTAGATTACTCCTATAAAGGACAACAAACGAACCGTCGATTGACTTTCGGCTCTCAAGATTCTGAACCATCATCCACTCGACTATCCTATCCTGTATAAACAATTGCACTTGTCCCATTCGCAATGTCCCAACGTCCCTCGAATGAATAAATGGCTGGAAGGATTTTTCAAGGTCCTCTTTCCAGTTTAGTCTTTCCTCTTAATACAAGCGTAGTTTTTGCAAAATGAATATAGATGTGAATATGATAAATGAACTGTGGTATTCAGCTGGAGAAATTTTCGCGTCATGCACGACGATCTGTTTATAAGAACACTTATAAACAGCGCTTAGTTTATGGTTTCTAATAGGCTATATTCTGGCAAATGAAATTTGCATAATAAATAATCGGATAATCTTATTAGTAGCAAAAGTTACGGTGAACAGAATTTGAGGTGCAGTCAGCAATGTGGTGATTAAAAAACTGTTAAAGATATGCACCTAAGGGTTTTTCTTTGGTTCCTATCTAAAATTATAAAGAATTTTTTATAATAATTTTAAGAAATTTAAGAAAAATTCAAATACTGTCGAACATAAAACGAGGGGAAATATTATCGTATATTTTCACTCTTTCTGAGGTACCATTTCGATGAATCAATTGCTTTTTACGTTCAACGATAATTCTCTATTGAGAGCCTTCTAAATAATCAAACAGATAATACAAATTTGTGGCCATTGGAGAACGGCTCAGCGAGTGGTCAGTGATCGAGTAGTTATTCTACTTGAAGGAGGAAAAATCCGAGTGGTACTAAATATTCATTTGTGCTTCTATGCTTGGCAAATGACTTCCAAGCAAAATTTGTCTATAATTCTTCATTTAATCAGTTCTTTTATTGTTTATCACTTGTTTTCAATCTATGGAAAATTTAAGATAAGAAATTTGAGAAAAAATGTTAAAAATTTTTAGAAAAAACTCAAATGGTTAGGAATAATTGCTCATTTTTCTCAACGAAAGCTAAAATTCCATTCCAATTTCATTCCAAATAAAATGGATAAAAACAGTGAAAAAGTTTCCTTTCGCCCTTTAAGCAACTTTTGAACTGTTCGCTTCTCAAACGGTTCTCCGCAGTTTTACAAAAAAACCGATTAAATGGCGGCGTTGAAAATGGAAAAAAAATTATAATTATAATTTGTATAAAAAATTGAAAATTTTCCAATATCGTTTTTACCAAAAAATTGTCCAAAATAATGCAAAATTTCAAAAAAAATTAAATTTTTTAATAAATTTTTAAGCATCAAAGAGATATTTCGTGCGAAATTCGTTCTTCTTTTCAATTTTAAAAAAATGAAAAAATAAATATATATTGGCAATAAATAATTATAATTTATTAAATTAATTAATGTTGTAACTTATTTTCCATATATATTTCCTTTTCGATCATAAAATTTCAAAATTCAATGGAAGTATCTGGAAATTTCTAGAAATTTCTTGAAATTTCGATAGTGGTTAGAGATGAAAACAGTGAAAAAATATTATAGGGCAGGCGCAAAAATCGGCTCGAGAATAGTTGAGAAATTTCTCGAAGAGCAATATTTAGCCTATAAAAGGATAAAAATTTTGCATGTATAAAATAAATTTCTAAGTAAATTGTCGCTAATATGTCGATTTGCGTCTCGAGTTGGCCACATCGTCGCTATTGTGTCGCTCCATTTGAGCGAAATCTGTTTCGTGTGGTTGATAAGGCTTTTGATAATTTTTTCAACGGTGATAATTTATTCAGCCGTTCGATTACTCCGTATTGGTTTAATCAGCCATTGTTGCAACAATGTAATATTGGTAATTCCATTGGTAAAGTAAGTTTTTCTCGCATTCAATTTTCTGATTTTTAAAATTAATTAAATTTATTTTTATTATTTATCCATATAAATTAAACTTATTTAAGATAATCGACGATAAAGAGAAGTTTTCCGTTGAAATCGATGCGTCGCAATTCCATCCAAGCGAACTCTCCGTGAATATTCGTGAGAACGAATTAATCGTTGAAGGGAAACATGAAGAAAGGAACGACGAAAATGGTACCATTCAACGTCATTTTATTCGCAAATATGAAATTCCAAGCGATGTGCAAATGGATACAATTGAATCGAATTTATCCGACCACGGAGTATTGAGTATCAACGCCAGGAAGGTACCATCAGACAGTGTACCAGTTCGCCGAATTCCNACGCCACCACATATTTTCTAATTTTTAAAGTCATATTTCTATGTGCACATTGTTGTTCAAATTTCGCGTTTAGTACTGGCAGATTTCAAACACAGGATAAGGTTTTTAAGGAAAATTTAAGGCTAATCATGGCAAATTTTCTATTAATGCAGCTAAGATCATAAATTTCTCAATCATCATAAGTATATAATTTTTTTTTTTAAATTATGCACTCCTTAGGGAACTATGCGAGTTGGAGCTTGGATATTCGTTTTGAGATGTGGGAGTTCGGATCCTTCTAAAAAACTACTACCATCACCAAAAACTATCATTAAGAAATTCGAAAAATAATGGCACCTATAATTCTATTGCTATATTCGATTATTATATAATTATTATATATATATTATAGTCACTGGTAAACTATTTTTTTAACTTACTAATATAAGAATTTGCTACGCTGCCACATCACATTTTTGGCATAAATTGTTGAATATCAGCAGAGATATGTGGACACCTAATTATTATCATTAGATTGTGGTCTTTTGTGTAAAGGATTTAACTTGACCAGAATGCTCTGGCAGTCGCCTCAAACTAATTTAACTATTTAACTTACTACTTTCCATATTTTCATATTTTTGCTTTTTTTCTTGCTGAAACTACAAGATGTTATCAGTTAATCATATCATAACTCACAAAAAATAATGAATAATGAAAATAACAGGGAAACAAAAATTAATTTTCGAAAAAAATATGTTTAACTTATTTCGATGTTCCATGTGAAACAGTGAAATTATTCATTATTCCTCTTTGTCATTATTTTCGGCAGAAAAATGTTCGCTTCAGTGATCAGTGATAAACAAATAGATTCAATTTGTTATTTAATATTGCAATTTGTTTTCCAAATTTTTTCCTTTTTCAATCGTAAAAAATCCGAAAACCACCGGAAATTTCTGGTAATTTCTAGAAATTTCTCGAAATTTCGACAGCGACTAGGAATGAAAACAGTGTGAAAATAGTACAGGGCAGGCATAAAAGTCGCTTCGAGAGTGATTGAGAAATTTCTTGAAAGACAATATTTAATGTATAAAAATGATGAAAATTTGGCAGTTTCAAAATAAAATTAGAATAAATAAGCAAATTTTTAAGTCGTCGCTAATATGTCGCTTTTCGTTTCCGATTGGCCTCATCGTCGCTATTGTGTCGCTCCATTTGAGCGAAATCTGTTTTGTGTGATTGATAAGGCTTTTGATAATTTTTTCAACGGTGATAATTTATTCAGCCGTTCGATTACTCCGTATTGGTTTAATCAGCCTTTGTTGCAACAATGTAATATTGGTAATTCCATTGGTAAAGTAAGTTTTTCTCGCATCCAATTTTCTGATTTTTAAAAATAATTAAATTTATTAAATTAAATTAAATTAAATTAAATTTATTTTTATTATTTATCCATATAAATTAAATTGTTTAAGATAATCGACGATAAAGAGAAGTTTTCCGTTGAAATCGACGCGTCGCAATTCCATCCAAGCGAACTCTCCGTGAATATTCGTGAGAATGAATTAATCGTTGAAGGGAAACATGAAGAAAGGAACGACGAAAATGGTACTATTCAACGTCATTTTATTCGCAAATATGAAATTCCAAGCGATGTGCAAATGGATACAATTGAATCGAATTTATCCAACAAAGGAGTGCTGAGTATCAGCGCCAGGAAAGTACCATCGGACAATGTACCAGTTCGCCGAATTCCGATTAAACCTTCGCCTCCATCAAACGACAATCAAAAATTAGATATTCAATAAATAAAATAATTTTGCTGTGTTTTATAATTTTTTGTAATTTGTATTGTTTTTTTACGATCTCTTATTTTTGCTCTATTTGAATAAATAAAATTTGCTTAAAGATTTTTGTATCACAGATTAAAAAATATTTCCAATATTTAGAAAGATTGAGGAATTAACTTATGAGAAATAAGAGTGCTAACTTTCCAATTAATAATCCACCAAAAAATGCCCGAAAAAAAATTTTCTTTCCTGCGATTTTGAGGTTTGCGCCAGCCAAAAGATTCGCTAAATTTGAGCTAAGGTTGACGAAATTTTTTATTAAACCATTCAATATATATTTTTACAATTCTTTTTTCAGCTACTATATGGATGAGACCATTGTCTTGTTGGGAGAAAATCTCTGGTTTATATTGCCAAAAAGCCATATTTTAGTGGCAATTTCACTCCAAAGCCGAATTTAGATTCATAAGATTCAACTGCTATATTCTTTAAAATAATTCACACATTTTAATTTTAATTATAAATATGGCATTTATATTCCTTTAAATTTTATCAGTTTTTTGATAATTTTTTTTCTTTTCTTCTCATTTGAATTATTTGATATAATATAAATTTTATCAATTTTTGATAATTTTTTTGCTTTTTTTCTCATTTGAATTATTTGATAGAACAAATTTGTTAACGAACTTAACAATACAATAATAGTGAATTTTAAAAAGTACGACAATTTTATTTCACCATCATTGCAAATTTTTGCTGAGAATTTTTTGGTACTTGAAAATTGCCCAATTAGAATTCTCTTCTAACACCTCTCACCATTACTGGTTAGGCTGCTGGAGCCAGCAGCTACAAGGGTAAGACGCTTCCATGCGGCGTGGAATTAGAATATTAGTATTATGTAATAAATAAATAAATCTCAAGAATAATGCAATATTATTCAAGAATAATGCAATAGAATACAAATGATTATTTAGTAGTACTCATATTTTAAAAGTTCTTAATCCATGGATCCTTAGAATAATTTTCCTAGGAAAAAATTAAAATTGGCGAATGCTACCAATGTAATCATAGATTAATATAAATATAAAAACGAAATATTTACCGTAAGCTTGAAATAATTGTTTGGCATGAAATTCTCCCAGTTCTATTACACTTTTATCAATTCTCATTATAATTTCAGTGTGTTCCTGTATATTTAATGAAAAAATCTAAAATGCAAATGCAAATCAACCATCAAAAAATGTGGTGAAAATATGGAATTTGTTACCATAAACCGTCAGCTCATTGCAATATTACCGTTGTCTAAGAATTCTAAGAATCCTTGGTTTTAAATTTGCGTCCAACAAAGCAAATAAACAGGAAACGAATGTCTTAAGATATCTTAAACGATCACAGTCGATCACAGTCCTTAAGCTGCAAAAGATACTAAAATATTATTACTGTAAAATATTATTAAATATTACTGTACTTTTATGGAACTTCACCATCGAAAGTGGCAAGAAAAGTATTCGTCAGATATTTATTTAAAATCCTATTTTAAAAAGATCTTCAAAATAATATTCCATGAGTGATTTTTATTTTATGATTAAAGTGAATTATAAAATGATTGGATCGGGAAATATAAAATATTTAAAACTGTAAAACAACTCATCGCTTTGCATATTCTCGAAATCTTAGTTGAATTTTTAAAATATTTGCCATCTTTTTCAACATATTTCTATTTTCTATAAATTTGCAATTTTAAGCGTCACGCCGACGTCACGCCGACGTCACGTCAACGATTAATAGATAGCGAAAATACTGCGTTAATATACTGCGTTTAGTGGTGATAAATTGCATGTTTTCACCACATTTCTTTCCGGTCTCTCGCATGTTAATTTGCATTTTAGGTCTCTCAGTTTTTTCAGTCAATGTACAGAAATTCATTTGCACACATTTTTAATGAAAATATGAAATATAAATGAGATTTAATGAACAAGAAAATAATAATTTTAAGTTTGCGGCAAAGCAATTTTGCTTTAGTGTTCAGCTTATTTTGTGACCGAATTAATTGAGTCGAATTTGTTCCAAGCATTTAATGATCACGAGCTTTTAAATGATCACCCATTTATTGTTATCATAAAAATTCTTCTTATATCTTTATCATACTTATTAATATAATAACAAAGTATATTAAATTGTTAAAAAAAACGACATCAAGAATTCTGAAATGCCGAAAAAGTTTTAAATTTCTTTAAAATTCCTAGTGAGCGAAATCCCGATAGATCAAAATTCCAAAAGAGAAAAAATTATGCAAATTTCAGAAATGACTTTTCTTTCTTCTATGGTAAGAAACTCAGAAATTCCTCAAAAAAACCTCATAATCTATTTTCTTACTTTCTGATTATTTTGTTCGCACAAAAACCTTATTTTCAGTCTTAATATTCCTGAAGTCTTCTTCATCTTCTAACAGCTCTCATCATTACTGGTTGGGCTGGTTCCAACGGCTACAAGGTTAAGATGCTTCCAAATGGCGCGGTCTGATGCCATCGTCGACAGCAATAGAAACCATTCCTTTTTCCATCGTCTAAGTCCATATATTGCAGGTCCACCTATAGGTTCAAAATCTTTTCTCACCGTATCAATCCAGGTCTTGATTGACCCACCTCGCTTTTGACGCCATCCACCACACAGTATAGCAAGTAACGAAATATGCGTCAGCTCCTGTGGTGGATGACGGAGAATGTGCGTTAACCATCGTAGACGACGATAACATTATTAATACTGGTGTTTGAACAAAGATGGATACGGTCATATGATATTTTATTCGCTTGAGTCTACGCTTTCGGAAGTCCTCAAAAATATTCCGACTTATTTGTGCAGCAAGAAAAAGTTCTAATATGTTTTTACCAAAATAACCTCCACACAATGCATTTATGAGATTTTTATAGTTTTTTCCTTTTTCGAAAATTTCATTTTTATTTATATTCCTAAATAAAATGAAAAAAGAAATAATTTTTACCAATAAAATTTTAACCGATAGAATTTTTGTTTAATTTCGTGTTTCAGCACTTCTCATTGCTTTATATGCATCGCTGAATGCAAATTTTGCTAGTAAATTTCATCGAAAGGCTTAGTCGAAATAGGTGATATTGGTTAACAGTAATGTACTTCATGTTGGTACTACATTTCAATCCTGTTAACTTGCAGTCAATATCCAGAACTGTTTCGGATTTATTAAAATCATCTCGTCCGTATGCGAATCAATGCCAAGATCGAATAATAATGTTAATAATAATAATAATAATAAATTTCAATTCATATAATTTTTATAAGTCTTGTATGAGCTATATAATCGGGAATAATAATTTGTATGGTATTAGTATTTAGTGTTGGTATTAGTAAAATATGGCATTCAATAATCCCCGAAGGCGACGCCATAATTTTATATTTTGCATTATAACAATAGTTATATTTGAATATGATTAATAAATGATTAATGATTAAAACTTCAATTGCATTTTATTTGTTATTTGTTTAAGATTTAAAAAAAGGCTCATTCATTAAATGATGAATTACATAGATTCATTCTGGCAAACCATAAATCTTGCAGAAAATGCATATAGAATCTCAAAAAAAAAAATTTTCTCTAATAGTATTTAAAAATAAGTTCTTTGATAAATTCTTAAATTAAAAAAATATGGAAAAATTTTTTTGAATCAATAAAAATTTCAGATTGTCTTTGAGAAACATAAATCTTATAAATTTATTAAAATTAATAAAATTTATCAAAATTTAAGAGGATTATAAAAAATTATATAAAATATTTTAAAAAATTTTTTATCAGAATATCGTAAACAATCTTTTTTGACGAACTGGTTTTTCTATTCTAAATATAAATCCAATATTATATAAAATAATATTTTAGTGATTTTTTCAGTTGTGGAAAATTTTCAACTGGATTTGCGATGTTCTTCAGCTTCATTCTTTTGGTTAGTTAATATCATATTGGTTAACCACAAATGAGAAGCGTTGCACGATTAAAAATTTGACTCAAATACATGGAATTAATGGATTTTTTGAGCAACTTGCAGATAAATATCTTGAATTTCGCCTGTCTTTAATTGTTAATTTATATTTTAGGCGCTTTCAATACTATATATTTCGATAATAGAGTTAATTCATTGCTGCTAAACTAGACAATTATTGTTACGAAGTTCATTTCATAAACTTCTTTTTCAGTTACCATTCGCACAAGGACAAGATGATTTTAATAAATCTGAGACAGTTATTGATGTTCATTGCAAATTGACAGGACTGGAATGTGCTTCCAATATGAAGTACATCACTGTTAAGCAAAATTATCAATTTCGACAAAAATTTCCGAGAAGTTTATCATTTGATAAAGTTTGCATTCAGCAATGCACACATATCAATTCTGAAGCAATGAAAAATACTGAAAAACTTGCTACAAATTTAACAATTTCACCAGCTGAAACTACAAGATTCGTAAAAATTCTTTATTTTTTCTTTTTAATTTTTTTGGAATTTAAATAAAAATTGCGAAAAAAAGGAAAAACAAAAAAAGTCGCATAAATGCTTTGAGCTATTCTGGCTATTTTGCTAATAACACTTACTATAGGAATTGTTAAGAATTGAAATGGGGTTTTTTGCGCTATTACAATAGGATAGAAATTTTTCCAAAGAATTTTTGAGATATCTTTTGCCATAATAGAAAGTGAAGCCATTTCTGATTCTGTTTGTATAGTTTTTCCCTTTTTGGAATTTTCATCAATCTTTTTCACTAGGAATTTTAAGGAAATTTAAAACTTTTTCGGAATTTCGGTATTCTTGGTGTCATTTTTTGATGTATACAATTTAATATAATGTAATAATAATAGAGTTACTTAAATAATATAGCAGCGCTTCTATAAATCTATTGCTGCCCAGTGCATTATATTAATAAGTATGACAGGAATTTATAAATAAGAAGAATTCTAATATTTATAATAATAAAAATAATAATAATGTAGTAAATAAATGGCAAATGGCATTTCAAAACTCCTAATTCTTGGAAAATTTTCTCACAACTGAAATAAAATTAGAATTGGAAAATAACACGACAAATGCAGCCTCCAAATAAATGAACATTGGGAAGAAATTGCATTGCCATATATTTGAAATATTTTTTAAAGTTTGCAAATTAGCATAAAATTTTCCATTCTCATTATTTTATTTTTCATTAAATCATTATTTTTTCAGTCAGAATGTGCGAAAATGAATTTCTGTGCATTGAATGAAAAAATTGAAGATTCGATTGCAAATTAACAGGAAAAAAATGCGGTGAAAACATGGAATTTGTCACCGTTGACCACTGCATTACTAAAATATTTCGGCTGTCTGCCATTACTTTTCGTGAAGTTTGTGTTCAACAATGTAAATGCGCACGAAATTTATATGAAAAAGATGGCAAATGTTCTAAAAATTCAACTGAGATTTCAAGAATAAGCAAGGCATTGAGTTTTTTTACAATTTTAGATATTTTTCATATTCAAATATTCTGCATGGTCCACTCATTTTGCAATTCACTTTAATCATGAAAGTGTTTCATGGAAAATTTTAAAATATCACTCTTATCTTTTAAACGATTTGCAAATTTTGTCCTAATGACAATATTTTTCTCAAATTACAATTTTTATAAAATTGTAAATTTTGAAATTAACTTTATTCTCATTGTTAAAATACCGCTGAGTTGCAAAGCTTGAAGCTCTTTTCAAAATTTGAAAATTAGCACGAAATTCTTCCATTGTCATTATTCTCATTTTCATTAGTCAATCTCATTTTTAGTCAAAATGTGAACGAATGCATTTCTGTGCACTGAATGAAAAAATTAATGACTCGAAGTGTAAATTAACTGGCAAAAAATGTGGTGAAAATATGGAATTTGTCCCCATTCACCGCCGTATTAAAAAAGTAGTTTCGCTTTCCATCAATCCTTTTCTTGAAACTTGTGTTCAACAATGCAAATGCGCAGGAAATTTTTATGTTGAAAAAGATGGCAAATGCTTTAAAAAATCAAAGCCGGTATTGCCGGTAAGTTATTGCACAATTTTAGATTAATATTTTTTAATATTTACCTGCACGATTAGAATGGCTCAGTGAGTTTATGCTCAATTTGGAGAGATGATGCTGAGGTTCGATTCTCCGCACGAGTAGACCTATGCAAAAATCCAGGTGATGCTGGCGACTCACCTGTATTTCTATCGTCAAGGAATTCCCTGTTATATTTGTCCAATGCGACAAGCCAATGGAGCGAATTTAACCAGTAATGGTGAGGACTATTTAGAAAAAAAATCCCGCATCTATTCATCGATCTATTCATTTTGCTATTCAGTTTAATCATGAGAAATGAGAAATTTCCCACTAAGTGGGAAATTTTGAAATTTTAGGACGATAGACACATTGTGATTTAGTTTACGACAGATCATTTTTTAAAGAACCATTAGCAAAAACACAAAGCACAGTGAGAATTGACAAGGGTGGCCAGATGCGAATCTCTTAGCATTAACTTCACATTTTATAAGCTTTCGTCATTTAAATATGTATCCAACCGTATATATATGTTGAGAATGGAAAAAAGCATAATAAATTTGGCAAAAGTCAAGAATCTTAGATCTATTTTTATGCCAGATGAAGTTATAAGAACATAAGACGGCTCGATATATATAGCCTTTGATGGGAGAAGAAAGAGTGGTTTCTGTTAAACCCATTCAACCAGTAACCAGTTCTAGCCAGAAACCAATAATAGTGCCACAAACCAATAATAATAATATATACGCGTTTCTATTACATGAGAAATAGTTCTGCCTTAAAAGAAAATTCCGTAGTTCCGTAGTAGTATATTCCAAAATTTATGGGTGTCTGATCTAACTATAAAATTTCCCTTCTATAAAATTTTATGTATCTTTTTAGATTGATCTTCCCTATGGTGAAGAATTCTTGGATTACTCATGCCAGTTTGAAGGGATCAAATGCGGGTTAAACATGGTATTCGTGAAAATCGATCCATATCGATCACGTTTCGCCTCCCTCCCGAGATTTTCTGCTTCCGGTCTCTGTGTCTTTAAATGTTACTGCAAAGCACCATATGAGGAAAAAAATGGGCAATGTTTATAATCCATCAAAGATTTCAACGATATCGCAATTCATAAAATTTTGGTCATTTCAATTTTTGTTCTGGAGTTTCCCTGTTATTTTCATCATTCATTATTTTTTGCGAGTTATGATATGATTAACTGATAACATTCTTTTAGTTTCTTTCATTTTTTGCAAAAAAAGAAAAGAAGGTTACAGTGCTATATGATCGAGCGAGCAACTGATATGAAAAAGGAGCAGTTAGAAGAAGTGCAAATAATACTACACTTTCTATTAGCCAACAAAGGCTTCGGCATAAATAATATTATTAGATTTCACTTTTACATCGTTGGCAACAAAAGCAAAAATATGGAAATATGTAATAAGTTAAGTTAGTTAAGTTAGTAGTAAGTTAAATAGTTAAATTAGTTTGAGGCGACCGCCAGAGCATTCTGGTCAAGTTAAATCCTTTACACAAAAAACCACAATCTAATGATAATAATTAGGTGTCCACTTATCTCTGCTGATATTCAACAATTTATGCCAAAAATGTGATGTGGCAGCGTAGCAAATTCTTATATTAGTAAGTTAAAAAAATAGTTTACCAGTGACTATAATATATATATAATAATTATATAATAATCGAATATAGCAATAGAATTATAGGTGCCATTATTTCTCGAATTTCTTAATGATAGTTTTTGGTGATGGTAGTAGTTTTTTAGAAGGATCCGAACTCCCACATCTCAAAACGAATATCCAAGCTCCAACTCGCATAGTTCCCTAAGGAGTGCATAATTTAAAAAAAAAATTATATACTTATGATGATTGAGAAATTTATGATCTTAGCTGCATTAACAGAAAATTTGCCATGATTAGCCTTAAATTTTCCTTAAAAACCTTATCCTTTGCTTGAAATCTGCCAGTACTAAACGCGAAATTTGAACAACAATGTGCACATAGAAATATGACTTTAAAAATTAGAAAATATGTGGTGGCGTGAGACCGAGCGGCTTGGAGACGTCTTAGCCTTGCAGTCAGTGGAACTAACCTAACCAGTAATGGTGAGAGCTGTATTAGAAGAAAATGGTCAAAGAAATGGTTTGATATAAACTGGTGATTTTTTACTGAGTCTCTGTTCGGTAATCTTCTTCTGCAAAATCGATCAACGAATAATGCTCCTAATATTTGTAATACTATTAAAGATTTCAAGGAAAAGAGTTTGAATTTACGACAGAGGTTATTGGTGAAACTTTTCCTTTGACCACCAGGTTGCGTGGATTTGCATTCATTTATGGAAAATTGTGGATATGAAATCTTATTTATCTTTTTAGATCGCCCATTCCCACAATTTTTTGTCGAAATATGGAAAATTGTTGAAATATGAAGAAAGAAATTTCAATTCATATAATTTTTTATAAGTCTATGAGCTTTATAATCGGGAATAATAATGTGTATGGATGGCATTTGCGTTGAGCGTGAAATATGGCATTCAATAATTCCGGAAGACGAATTCATAATTTTTTATTTATTTTATATTTTAGGATTAGTATTTTTGGGATAGCATTTGAATATGATTAATAAATAATAAAATTTCAACCAGTAAAATCGGAAAATTTAAAAGATCAAAAAAATTATAAAATATATTTCAAAATTTTTTAAAATCAAAATCGTAAATGAAAATATTTATATCGCAATTTTCGGTGAAAATTCTGCGAAATTTGAATAAACCTTAAATTTAAAATAATAAAAATTTCATGAAATTGTTTACTTTTATTGGCATTTTAGTCGATAAATTAGTTAGATGCTTATAAACTTAAAAACCTGAAATTGTTTCTCATTGCCAATTATGTTCGCCCTTCAGTCTTCTTCGGGACCTTAGTTGACCTTTGTTGACCTTAGAATTTCGTCATTAATGCGACCGAATAGATGGCACACAACACCATCTAAATATTACAAAGAGTTGGACACCATAATATCCAATGCGATGCTTTCATTGATGGAACCACTGTGGTGATCTATCTTTTTACTTTTTTATTAATGCACGGCTCTATTTGTCAGATAAGTGTTTGAAAATATATATTTTGTAATGCATCGTATAATGAAAGTAATTCAATTTTAGCTCAAAATTTAGCGATTTTTTCCGCTCACACAAACCTCGCATAATAAAGCAATTCGATCGCAACATAAATATATATTTTTTTCAGCGTTTTCTGGTGGAACGTTGATTGAAAAGCCAAATCCAAATCCTCAAACTCATGTAAACTGGTTGCAAATTTATTTTTAAATAGCGGCACGGCAAATTTCTTTAAGCAAATTTTATTTATTTGAAAATAAGAGATCTTAAAAGAATAAAATATAAATTATACAACTATACAATACAGCAAAATAATTTTATTTACTGAACATCGGAGTTGATTTGGCTATTTTTAGTTGGCATTTTTCTGGAGTGAGTTGGCATTTTTCTGGAGTGAGTTGGCATTTTTCTGGAGTGAGCGAGTTCTATTTTGTTTATGGTTACTATTAAAAATATGAATATGGCTGCTATTAAAATGCGTAGGGTTTCTATTTCTTTGGAGCATTTGTCTTCGTTTCTTTGGACTGTTTTTATTACTTTTACTTTTATTTATTACTTTAAATTTACTTTATTTATTTCTATATTTTTATATTTTATATTTTTACTTTTATTACTTTTATTATTTTTCTCTTAATTTTGATTTTGCCTGTTTTGGCCGAGGCTATTAACTATGTTGCTGATGGATCGTAATTTTAATACTTCTTCTAGTAGTGGTGATAATCCTTTAACTTATCAGCAACATTGTTTTGGTTTTTTGGTCATCTTGAGGTTTTTCATATTTTGATTTTACCTGGTTTTGCTATTGTTAGAATAGTTTGTATGAAGGAGGCTTTTGGTTTTTTAGATAGTTATTTATTTTAATTGGTTGTATAGTTTGAGCTTATCATATATATATATATATAGATATGGATTCTCGTGGTTTTTTTCTTCTGCTACTATGGTTATTGATGTTCCTACTGGTTTTAAGGTTTTTAGTTGCTTAGCTACATTGCTTGATGTGCAGATAGTTTTTCAGCCTTTGTTGTTACGGGTTTTAGGTTTTATTTTTTATTTGCTATAGGTGGTTTTACTGGTGTTATTTTGTCAAATTCTAGTCTCGATGTTGCTTTGCATGATACTTACTATGTTGTAGTTTGTCGTTTTCTTTATGCTTTGAGAATAGGGGCTGTTTTTGGTATTTTTTGTTAGCGTTAGCGTTTGATGGGAGCTTTTGCTCAACATAAAATTTTTACGAGGATGGCTTTCTTTGTGCTGTTTGTGGGTGCTAATTTGTTTTTTTTTCTTTGCATTTTACTGGTTTGTATGGTTTTCCTCGTAAATTTGTTGGCTATCCACATATTTATTCTTTTTGAAATATTATTTCTTCCTATGGTTCTGTGTTAATATTGTTCGGTGTTTTTGGTTGCTTTGTTTTGATTCTTTTTCTTCTGGTCGTTCTTTTGCATATATGTGATTATAATAATAACAGCGGTTTAGAGAGGAGTTATAGTTTTTTCTCAAAGTTGTCAGGAAGAGCTTTATTATAGGGGTAATTGTAGGATGTTCTTTCAGTTCTTTTAGTATATTTTGTATTTTTTAGTATATTTTGCAGATAGAAAGGTTTTTTAGCGAATTAGGATAAAAGTAAATCTTGACGATTCATAATTGTTTGGTTTATTCGTAAAGGATTTTAGTATAAAATGGTTAGTACGGTTCATTGTTTTTGTTCTGGTTTGATCCTTCTGACTTCTTAATATAGTTTAGTATGTTTGATTTCCAAGTAATCAGGAAGAGGTTTATTATAGGGGTAATTGTAAGACGTTTCAGTTCTTTTAGTATATTTAATTCCTCAAAACCTGGTTGTAAATATTTTTTAAGTTGCACAATAAGAAATTTCATTAAGAAAATTTTTATTTATTCAAATAGAGCAAAAAATAAGAAAAAAGGAATCTTTAAAAAAAAAAAAAGAACAAACAATATTATACATTTATACAATACAACACAAAATTATTTTATTTATTGAACATCTGATTTCTGATTGTCGTTTGATGGAGGCGAAGGTTTAATCGGAATTCGGCGAACTGGTACACTGTCTGATGGTACCTTCCTGGCGTTGATACTCAATACTCCGTGGTCGGATAAATTCGATTCAATTGTATCCATTTGCACATCGCTTGGAATTTCATATTTGCGAATAAAATGACGTTGAATGGTACCATTTTCGTCGTTCCTTTCTTCATGTTTCCCTTCAACGATTAATTCGTTCTCACGAATATTCACGGAGAGTTCGCTTGGATGGAATTGCGACGCATCGATTTCAACGGAAAACTTCTCTTTATCGTCGATTATCTTAAATAAGTTTAATTTATATGGATAAATAATAAAAATAAATTTAATTAATTTTAAAAATCAGAAAATTGAATGCGAGAAAAACTTACTTTACCAATGGAATTACCAATATTACATTGTTGCAACAATGGCTGATTAAACCAATACGGAGTAATCGAACGGCTGAATAAATTATCACCGTTGAAAAAATTATCAAAAGCCTTATCAACCACACGAAACAGATTTCGCTCAAATGGAGCGACACAATAGCGACGATGTGGCCAACTCGAGACGCAAATCGACATATTAGCGACAATTTACTTAGAAATTTATTTTATACATGCAAAATTTTTATCCTTTTATAGGCTAAATATTGCTCTTCGAGAAATTTCTCAACTATTCTCGAGCCGATTTTTGCGCCTGCCCTATAATATTTTTTCACTGTTTTCATCTCTAACCACTATCGAAATTTCAAGAAATTTCTAGAAATTTCCAGATACTTCCATTGAATTTTGAAATTTTATGATCGAAAAGGAAATATATATGGAAAATAAGTTACAACATTAATTAATTTAATAAATTATAATTATTTATTGCCAATATATATTTATTTTTTCATTTTTTTAAAATTGAAAAGAAGAACGAATTTCGCACGAAATATCTCTTTGATGCTTAAAAATTTATTAAAAAATTTAATTTTTTTTGAAATTTTGCATTATTTTGGACAATTTTTTGGTAAAAACGATATTGGAAAATTTTCAATTTTTTATACAAATTATAATTATAATTTTTTTTCCATTTTCAACGCCGCCATTTAATCGGTTTTTTTGTAAAACTGCGGAGAACCGTTTGAGAAGCGAACAGTTCAAAAGTTGCTTAAAGGGCGAAAGGAAACTTTTTCACTGTTTTTATCCATTTTATTTGGAATGAAATTGGAATGGAATTTTAGCTTTCGTTGAGAAAAATGAGCAATTATTCCTAACCATTTGAGTTTTTTCTAAAAATTTTTAACATTTTTTCTCAAATTTCTTATCTTAAATTTTCCATAGATTGAAAACAAGTGATAAACAATAAAAGAACTGATTAAATGAAGAATTATAGACAAATTTTGCTTGGAAGTCATTTGCCAAGCATAGAAGCACAAATGAATATTTAGTACCACTCGGATTTTTCCTCCTTCAAGTAGAATAACTACTCGATCACTGACCACTCGCTGAGCCGTTCTCCAATGGCCACAAATTTGTATTATCTGTTTGATTATTTAGAAGGCTCTCAATAGAGAATTATCGTTGAACGTAAAAAGCAATTGATTCATCGAAATGGTACCTCAGAAAGAGTGAAAATATACGATAATATTTCCCCTCGTTTTATATTCGACAGTATTTGAATTTTTCTTAAATTTCTTAAAATTATTATCAAAAATTCTTTATAATTTTAGATAGGAACCAAAGAAAACCCTTAGGTGCATATCTCTAACAGTTTTTTAATCACCACATTGCTGACTGCACCTCAAATTCTGTTCACCGTAACTTTTGCTACTAATAAGATTATCCGATTATTTATTATGCAAATTTCATTTGCCAGAATATAGCCTATTAGAAACCATAAACTAAGCGCTGTTTATAAGTGTTCTTATAAACAGATCGTCGTGCATGACGCGAAAATTTCTCCAGCTGAATACCACAGTTCATTTATCATATTCACATCTATATTCATTTTGCAAAAACTACGCTTGTATTAAGAGGAAAGACTAAACTGGAAAGAGGACCTTGAAAAATCCTTCCAGCCATTTATTCATTCGAGGGACATTGGGACATTGCGAATGGGACAAGTGCAATTGTTTATAAGGATAGGATAGTCGAGTGGATGATGGTTCAGAATCTTGAGAGCCGAAAGTCAATCAACGGTTCGTTTGTTGTCCTTTATAGGAGTAATCTAACCATTAAAAAAATGACCTGCTACTTGCCACATTTGCATAGTCAGAAATAATGAACATTTTTTCTTCTCCTCACGAAAGTTTATCAAATTTCTTAAAAGTTGTAATTTTAGCTTTCGCCAACAATATTAAAAGGCGACTTATTTATGGAAACGATCGCTTCCGGCTAGTAGAATCCGAACTATAATTTGCATTTCATACTTCCGGTTGCTCAATTCTCTTTACTCTCATTTTAATTTCATTGTTACTGGCAAAATCATATGGCGTTGAAAGTTTTTCATTCGGTTCCATTATAGAATAGGAAAAAAGAAAAATAAAATTATAAAAATATTGTCAATTAATCACATTATAAATTCAAAGAGTATTGAAATATTCTGAAATCTTAAGAACCAATAAATTTTATATGCATCGTCCATCTTTTCCCTC